TGTTGTGGACAAAAGTTTTTTTTTCTTTTTTTTTCACAATTAAAATGAGAAGAAGAAGCAGTTGAATTCTGACCACATTGGCTCTTTGCTCTTCCAACTCTCTCTCTCTCTCTCTCTCTCTCTCTCTCTCTCTTTTCGAATTCTCTCTTTACTATGAATATTTTCCTTTATTATATGTCTTCCACGGTAGTCCGAGTCAGATAAGGCAACAGACCGCACTTCTCCCTTATTTTTCAAAAAAGAAATTGAGGGAATGCACGAGAGTTAGTACAAGAATGAGAGAATATGGTATGGAACGGTTTACCTTCTTTGCCTCTCCATCTCCACCTCTTCCTCCCCCTCTCCCCTCTCCCCCCCTCTCTCTCTCTCTCTACTCTTTTACAATGTCCACTTCTTCATCGTTTTTTATTGTCAGCATAGAAAGGACTGCTTTTCGTAGTTTGATACCTATTACTGTGCTCTACAAGAGACAAATCGACGTTTGAATAACAGACTATCTGAATGGTTTTCGTACAGCCATTTTCTACAATTTGAGGCAACGACGCCAGAATTCTTTGAATGACAACGGACAATCATGAGTATTACAGATTCTGTTGACAATCGTACTCTATAATTGAATAAAACTGTATTTTCACTTCTTCTTTATCTTCTTCTCGTCGTCCCGTCTCGCTTACATCAACACGTTGAGACATTCCATCTTTGACATTAAGACAAAGAATTTTTCCTTCCTTTTTTTTCTCCAAAAATTCATTTTTTCATCCGAATTCTGACCAACGACCGATCAAAACAGTTTTCTCTCTCTCTCTCTCTCTCTCTCTCTCTCTCTCTCTCTCTGTCCGTCTCTTTCTACTTCATTTTCTTCTTTTTTTTTGTAATATTCATGTGATTATCATATGATTGTCCTTAACCATCGCAGACAAGCTGTTTTGGCTTTCAGTCGAGCTTCTTCTTCTTCTTCTGTCAGCCAAAACTTCTTTCTTACTTCACCAAATAGGAAAACTTCTTCTTCTTCTTCTTCTTCTTTCTTTTCGACCGAAAAAAATGTTTGTTGCTGTCATTGTTTTGATAAAAAAAAAGCATCAAAAAAGAGATAGTTAAAGGGTCAAAAAGGATTTCTAGTAAACATTTGAAATGATAAAGAGAGAGAGAGAGAGAGGGAGAGAGGGAGATAGAGAGAGAGAGAGAGAAAAATTCTTTTTGTGAGCGGGAGAAAGAGATTTTTATTGAATGAACCCGAAAAGAAGCAGAATTATTACACTGTGGTGGTCGATTAAGAGAAAAGTGAGAGAAAATCTAAAAAAATGAAACAGAACAAGAGAATTTAAATCTGAGAATCATTGACTGTTGAGAGAGGGTGAGAGAGAGTGAAAGAGAGAGGGAGGATAGATAAGTTGATGAAGAAGAGAGAGGGTGAAGAGATGGAAGGACCTATGCCCGACCTATCGCCAACCTATGCCTAATGATCAACCGATATTGATATTTTCAGAGATAGGAGGAAGCTTGGAGAGAAAAAAAAGAAAAAAAAATTGAAATTTAAAAGCTGACATGTTGAAAGAGTAGAGAGTGAGAGAAACTAAGTGATTAGAGAAGCATGTTGAAGTCAAGAATGATGCCTTGGTTTTTCTTTTTTTTTTCGTTTTTCTTGTTACTTAAACTAACTGGAGAGAACCTTGGCTTGTAATGAACGACGAAAGTTCCTCAAAGTCTTTTCAATCGGCTTTAGCTCATCTCATCTTCACCGTATTCGAATCTCTCTCTTTCTATCTGATATCTCTAGCCTCTCCACTCATCCCATAATCTATCATATCATATCAGCTATAGGCAGACAGTCTTCTTCTTCTGTGTGTATGTGTGTGTGTGTGTGTGTGTCTGTGTGAAACAAAAACAAAGAAGTTTTATTGAATTTTAATCGATTAGTTCTAATTTGTTTCTAACTTCGACATGTTTTACTTGTTTGCATTTGCATATGAGCTCACGTGAAAAATTTGTTTACGTGAAGACTCACGTGAAGCAGCATCTCCTGTTTTTCAATTTCATTTACGTTAAGCGCAGAAATTGAGAACGGTTGTGTTCCATCGCCTTCATCTCATTCTTCTGTTAACCTCAATCTCGTCGTATTTCTTAGAGAAAAAAAATTTTTTTTTTCCTCTTCATCATTTTTCTCTGTGTTTCTCTCGTTTATAAGCTTCACACGTTTACTCCGCCCTCGCACGTCGTCAGACTGACGACCGGGCCCCGAGGGCTCTCTCTCTATGTGTGTCTCTTCTTTCTTCATAGCCTCTTGCAATGGAGCAATCTCTTTTCAATGCTCCTCCCTTTTCTATCCATATTTTCTGCATCTTCGTCAACTTTATCTTTTATATTGAGCCTAATTTTAAATTAGTCGTTTTTGCTTTCTCCTCTACAATCCATAAAAGGAATGAAACAATGTATTTTTAAAAATGATTATGATGCTCAATTAAAACAAGTTCACACATAGTCCATGTAGCCATATGTGATGTTCTTAGCATTGTGTCTTTTCAAATATTTTGTGTTCTCGAACATCGTGACGTCTATCTTATGCTCTCTCTTTCTCTTTCCCTCTCTCTCTCTCTCTCTCTCTCTTCTTCTCTCTCTCTCTCTATTCATCACAAAAAATTTTGTCATAAATTCAATTTTGATTATCACCTGTCTTCAGAGAATAGATATTCTATTCTATTTATAATATATGTTATAGTTATATATAAATCTATGTAGTTTATACTTCCCTCCCTTACCCTCTTTCTCTTGCAACCTCTCTCCCTCAATACCTCCCCCCCTCTCTTTATCCCATTTCATAGTTTTTTGTGTTGCTCATGTTGTTTCATCTCATTTTCTCTCATCTTGACAACACTTGGAGATATGTCAAATTATAGACTTCTGGCCATCTTCAACTCATCTGATTCTCTGAAATTTGAGACTTCACTCTCCACAACTTTTCGTTTGCCCTTCGAAAATTAGCTTTGAACAGCTTCACCTCGTCCAGCTATATCCTCCATTAGAAACAGCGTTAACACAGACACATTGAAGGTTGTTATAGCGTGAGTGTATGAATGAAATGAAATGGAGAGAGGGCTTACGCTTTCCCTCTCTATGCTTCTCTCTCTCTCTCTCTCTTTCGACTCTCTCAGTGTTAATCAACCTTTTTAATTTTATTTTACTTCTTTCTATTCATTTTTTCATTCATTTCTACTGATAATTTATTAAAATTCAAAATGATTAACAGGGAAAGCTCATGTTGATATGTGCGGCAGCTCTCTTATGTTTCCATGGCAGCTGATAGCCGACTTGGCTCATATCATCCGACCTTTCAAGTTTTCCAAACCTTCTTTTCCTGTCTATTTCCTTCTATTAATACATCGCCATTATCGATTTGAATCTTTTTTTTATATTCAACAAGTTTATTTCCTTTCATTTGCTTTCTTTTTTTATTCTGAGCCTTGGTCTGAGTCGTCTCCCTCTCTCACTCCTCTCTCTATGTTCATCTCTACTGCTTTGCTCTCGTTTGCTTTTCTCCGAATGAGCATGCCGTTATGATAGTATGGCCATGTGCTTTCCTTCCTATATTCATCCATTGATATATATATATCTGCTATTCTGATAAATTCTCAATATCACCTGCCTTTTTAATCAAAATTTTTATCCACAATCTCTACATCTTCTCAATTCAATTAATCTATAAGTCCCACCCATTCTCCTCTCACTCTCCTCTTCTATCCTCTGAGCCACTTTCATATTACCTCATTGGTCCATTCTTTGATTTTTCGCCTAATTTCATATTTTCTGATTCTGATGATTATTTTCTGCATCATAATCAGCTGAAAAAAAAATTTTTTTTTTGCTTCTGTTTCTTTTTGGCCGACTTATGTGAGCATTTTGTTCTTTGTGATTGTTCTTTAGTGCTAATAGGCTTCCAAGGTAGGATGAATAAGCTCAACTTATGGCTAAAAAGAGTTGCAATAAGTTCGTTAAGCATTTGAAAAGGAAAAGAGCCAGAGAGAGACATAGGTGGTGAAGAAGGAAAAGGAGTGGCGACTGAATCGAAACAGCCGCCCTCGTTCCCGCGAGTCTCCTCCGTTGCTTCCAATGCACACGCTATGCCATTGCATGAGCTTAAACTTACTTTTACCCCTTAGCCGTTCAAGCTTTTATAAATTAATCTTTCCACCTCAATTTCCTTTTTTGTGAGCTACTTACTCTGAAACCATAACGTTTCAACTTCGCCTCTCATACACACCTTCCATGATTTTTAAATATTTTTTTTTTCAAATTTTTTTTTTACTTTTTATCTCATTTGTATGCTTTTCTCATTTAATGACATCGCTCACCCTTACTCTGTCTCATTTTGGGATTTTTCCATTCTTACCCCCCCCCTCCCTTTTCCCCGATTTTCTCATCATGTCGGTGTGGAGACGACGACTCATTCACGTTGTCATCATCGTCATCTTGGACGACGTCGCTTCGTCTTCATCTTCAGCTGTTACTACTCATCACTTCAATCACTTCTTCTACCTAACATCATAGCTTTTCACTCCTCCCACTTTTTTCTTGTGACATAACTTTTTCTCTTTTTCATTCGTTTTTGTCCTTATTCTTTCTTTCTTTCTATCTCTGATTCTCTTTTCCCACTCACAGAACGTGTTATCCCTACATGGTAGTATAACAGTCTCATACATCGTTGTTTCAATACTCTTCACGTTTCTTCAGCTTCTGTAATTTGAAAATTTCTTATCAATATGTATCTTTTACTGTCATTTACCCTCTCTCGCTCTCTCTTTTCTCTGTCCAACTATTCACGTGCTTAAAATGTATCTTTATAGTTTCTTTCTTATCTCTCGACACTTATTGATTTCATCATTTTCATTTTCACCTTCGTCATGTTGTTGTGTTCAATTCTGAATTATGTGTGTCTACGTATGCTTTTCTATGTTTCATCATCCTCAATTTCAGTTTGGAAGGCAAGTGGTTTAGAAGAACAGACTATGGGTAGAAAGAAGATTCAAATCACACGAATTCAAGATGAGCGCAATAGACAGGTCAGTTATTGCAACAGTTTGTTTTCTTCTTCTTATTCTTCTCTTCTTCTTCGTCATCATTGAAGTTCAAGTCCTCTTGTTTTTCTTCTTTTCTCTTGCTTTTTTTTTCCATCTTCACTCCCTTCGAAACGATCAAAAATTGGCCAATTTGCCTAATGTGGGCACAGGCGCTCAACGGTTATCCTCCAACTTTTGGGAACGTATCGTTTTTCTTAAAGAATGCTCGCATTACTAAAGCCTATGCAGCGTTTATGTTTCATTCTGTTCCAAGGAATTGTCATCGCAGTTGAATCAACGTCAATTTCGTGTCAAACGTTGAGCAGATTCATAGATGCGTAGAAAACCGCGCCAGACAGCATACGACGACAACGACGATCAGAAACGACGACAGAGTTGTGCCGTTGTGTTGAACCAAGTTCTCTCATCATATGATTTTCCTATTGTTTTTCACTATATCTAAACCTGATAATTGAATGATAGATGGCTGAAACATTAGAAAGATGGAGAGGCGAAGACGACATGACGCAAGTTGTTAGGTTGACGGCAGAATTCTACTGACGTTGACACGTCTCCAATTAATAGTTATTATTTTAAAAAATGCCCTCCCTATGCGGAAAACTGAGGCAAAACGCTCCAACTTCATGAAATAGCTTTGAGAGAAGTTTGAGAGCTTAAGTGACGATGAGAGGGCAACTTCTGACTTTTATGAACTTCTGGTTTCCATCATGTTCAGATGCTTTATGAGTGAGGGATAATTTGATGAAAAGTTCAATCAGCTTTTTCTGTTCCTCCCAAGTTGACGTCCGAACACAGACAATTGGATGACAAATGAGAGAATCTCAGAACAATTGAGAGTATCATCCCTTTTCTTCCTTTTTCAATCCTATATCAATGTCCTTCTTTGCAACCTCATACCCGATTTGCATGCTATTTGATAAAATGGAAAGCAAGAAGAAATTCGTTGAAATGGGTTGTAATCGTTGGAAGTTCATCGACTAAGACGCACTTATCAGTGCTGCTTGCATCCAAAAATAGGCAATTCTGACCCTATTTATGTATCATCAAACGTTTAGTATCAAATTTGATGTTTTATCAATTCATAATTATATCTAATAACGGCTGTATGCCTATGTCTGAGCGATGTGTGGACATCTCAGGCCATTGTAGTCAGCGCCAATCAAGAGTAATTTAAGCGCAATCGTCTATATTCTAATCAGCTCGATTTGATAAAATTTGCATTTGTACGGTTATCGCACTATCGTGCCGAGATCAATTTTCAAAAGTTGCCGACGACGAATACATTTGTCTGTATTAATTGAGCGCGCGCCAAATGAGTTTCAAAAGTTTTTGCAACGGAAGCGAACACTTTCGATAATTGTTTGAAGTTCAAGAATGTATACTTCATACGTCTCGTTTCATGGCACGTAAACGGCGACACTGATGATAAGTACTCTATGACATCTGATGGATATACATCGATAGGATGACTTCGTCATCATAGACCATCATCAGTGTTATAGGATTTGATAGATGAGAAGTGTGACTCCTGTTTTATCATCTTGATGTATATATGATCAACATTTAACGTAAGTTGATAGATCAAAGAGGAACGATGAAGGACAAGTTCTTATATTCAGTTTCATCCGATGACAGATCAATGCAAGCTATACGGATAGTTTTTTTGGAACTGTTCAGTTATAACCGTCAATCTTCCATCTTTGACACACCACACATACACACACCTGTGCTCCGTTTTTCTTCATCAGGTGTAAAAGCGGTTAATGATCGTCAGCTGATTTCTTTTTTACGAAAGAATGCAGACTTTATGGCTTTTTCGCAAACCTCGCTGTTGAAATAGTCTTCGAGACGCTCAGAACAGTTGCATTCCATGTAGATATGCGAAGAACGTTCAATCTACAAACTATAGAGCTCTTCTCCCCATTCCCAACAACATAATAATGATATTCGCTGATTTGAAGATAACGAGTAGAGCCCAACGTTACCTTGCACACATATTTTTGCTTTTTTTTTGTAATAATTGTTGCCCATGTTTCTTAAGTCATTCACATGGGGGTAGAGGGGAGGGGACCTGTCTGAAGTATTCAAAAGAGCATTCAAAACCAAAATGTTTCAATATTTTGACTATATATTGCTGTAACGACTTTTGAACTTCGTTAAGCTTTCTATAACGCCTCAAAATGTTTTGTCTGTCGATGTCTTAAAGGAAAAGAACAGAACTTCGAATCACACTTCCAAAAAAGTAGATTCCAAAGAACAAATGTACTTTTTGGGGAAAATTCGTTCTTTCTTCCGTTTCTGTCTTCAGATGATGTCTATCTTAGCTTTCATCCATTTGCCTGCTTCGTTTCGAACTCTGGAAATCATGGTCTCAAATAATGCAATTAGATAGTTCTTTTAAAGTTTTCCATCTGCTTCTCTCTTCCTCTTAAGTAATAAGGTGCTCTTATTCGTTGAAAGCTGTTGTCAATTTATCTGACGGATTCAGCAACTAGCATGTACGTATATGAGCAAGTGATCTCATCTCATTCTTCGTTTCAAACTTTCATTCTCTCAATCCCGTTGTGGGGAAATCGATTGAGCCCTTAGGAAATGCAATGACGTCATACGCAGTGTATGTATGTGTTGAAACGAGCAGAGACGGAAAAAGAGAGAAGAAGTAAGTATTGAGCATGTTAGAGATGGACACATAACCATAGCTGGTCTGAGTCTCAACCACGCAAGCACGAAGACTCTCTCTGCTCACCGAGCTGTTTCATTGGAAATATCTGACTTTTTTTCTCTGTCTCTCTTCCTCTTTGTCGTCGTCAACGTCGACATCGTTTGAAAGACTCAATACCACAAATATGCGAAGGCGAGAAGCAAAAAGGGAGACGAGGGAATATTTTTAGCTGATTGCCCACTATTTTTAGTGCATAATGTATATTTTTTCCGACAGCCTGAACGGCATAATGAAAAAACGAAAGAAACAATATGATGAGGCGAACAGCAATGAAATAAGAAATCTGTTTGGCCTATATATTTTTATATGAGGTCATGCATTGGTTATGCTTCCTTGTCGAAGGATAGTAAGCCAGCATAATCAGTTGAAATTAGAATCGCTAAACTTATATACCCAATTTATCAGTAAAACCTTTCGATTAATTTCCTCAAATTGGCAGCAGAGTGTTGATGATGACGTCACAGCAGTAATGTTAACTGAGCTTGTGATGCATGTTTATTATAAAAAGAAGATTATCAGCAGTATCAGATTGCAGAACAAAATGTTCAACGGCTTATTAGAAGTGATCATTAAAGATGACAAGAACAATCGTTTCCCTTTGTGGGAGAGATGTGTCGTCATCACTCCCCATCATCATCATCACCACCATCATCATTAATGAAATATTTCATCAAGAGAATAATGGCAAATACAAAAGGAAATGGAAACGAAACGGACATGCGTCTACTTTACACCTAGAGAGAGATGAGAGCTTGAAGAATCAACCGTTCCGCGCAACTGCACTATTGTAAATGGCATTGGCGTGAAATTCCCACGTGACTTTCACGTACACTTCACAAGTCGTCTCACAGCTCGTTTATAAAGAAGATATTAATTGAAAACAAGCTCTATTTTAAAAGTCAGAGGATAGAACTTTTCGTGTTTTCGCGAAAATAATGAAAAATGGAAGAAAAACCTGAAATTTTTACGTGCAGGGGGACATTTTTCAAGGCATCATTTTTTTCGTCTGCTATTTCCTACAAACACAATAGCTGGGGTTTGCACAATTGGAAGTGTTAGAGGTATATATGACGTAAATCATTAGCAGTTACATGATTCATATGTCTGATAATAATCTCAACTAATAACAATTCGACTAAACATCATAATAACATTTTTTTCGCTCCGCCGCGCTCATAATTATTTTTCTAAAATTTTAAGAAAAGGCTAAGTGGGACAACACAATTATCCGAATGTTCGAATCATTATGATTGGATGAGAATGCGATTTGTAATCATCTTACTGATTCCGGCAAACTCTCTCACCATCTCTACCTCCTCCCTACCTTGGCAACGCTCCAAATCGAGACGTTCTAGGTAGATGTTACTGAAATCAAAAGTCAATAAATCGATTAATTGCGAATGTTAGACCTATTTGCACTTTACAGCAAAAATTAATCCCAAAATGTCAGGAAACGCATAGAATAAACTTTGGGCGGGAAAATTTCTCGCAATGGAAATTAGATTTGTTGGAGTTTTATCCGAGCAAAGAAATTATCAGGGACTATCGGGGATGGAAATTTTTGACTTGAAGAGAGAAGAATAAGAACCTATCCATACAACTTGATATGATTACACTTTTCATGACTTAATGTATTTCTATTTATAGGTAACTTTTACAAAACGCAAGTTTGGTCTCATGAAAAAGGCTTACGAGCTCTCAGTGTTGTGCGATTGCGAGATTGCGTTGATCGTCTTCAATTCTACGAATAAGCTCTTTCAGTAAGTTTTAGTCGTATTTCATTTCATAGCACTTAACATTTAAAATTCTCCTTATTTGGTACACTGCGCATATGTATTCTCACACATGGTTAGAAAGGGAAACGTGGAGAACATCAAAAATGAGATTTGAAGTCGTTTTTCTTCATCGTCTAAAAACGAGAGAATGTGTAGCCCGAAATAGCGCAAATATTCGTGACCGAATGCTAAACTCTCGACAGTTTCGTCGAGTTCACTGCTTGTCAGCTGATTATGATCGGTTCCGTTTAGTATGTGAAGTTAAGATGTTTGAAGTGAAAGCAGAACTTCGAGGGGTTATGAATTGCGAGTGATGAGATGAAGAACGAAACGACATGTGGCAAATCGAGAATTCCTCTTCGAACTCAAGTTATCACCTCTCAAGATGCACAGTTTTCGAATGTTTTTCTTCAGTTTTGTAGTTTTTTTTAGCCGACAGCACAAAAAAAAATATATTTGATTGATGACCATGGCTGATATTGACTTAGCGTGTTTGATGCAGCCGCTGATTGTTGGTTCAAATTCAGTGCAGAGGGGTGAAGAAGTGAAAGAGTTACAAACTTTTCAGTAGAATTCACAATTCCATTCTCACATCTGTTGTGAATAATACAGATTCTCTTATAAGATTATTGATGGTAGTGATGATGACGACAACACACACACAGTCGGTATTCAGGTGTTTTGTCCAAAGATTATGAATAAAGTAAAGTCATCAGTTCCATAATGATATTATGGGTTTACGTTCGTTATCACAGGAGATTAGAAAGCTGAAAGTAGAGAGAATCAAAGATTCTACTTCTGAGCACAGCTCTTTTTGTCCCAATCCGACATTCAAATGTTTTTGATCTCTTATGATACTGATGTGTGTTGCCTATTCTTGCTCATTCCCTCTCCTCTCCTTGTTTGTTTTCAAATTTCCATCTATAATTCTCTCTCTTGTTCATCTTCGAATATCACAAAGCTTAATCTGTGCTAATAAAATCGAATACCAAGTCTAATCTGCAACCTTTCCCCTTGGCTTCTGCCCAAAGCTTTTGTTTCTGTTAAACGTTCAAAGATCTCAATTTTCTTTATCTTTCTCACCTATGAAATAAAATTATCAAAAGCATCAGAGGTTCATGATCGCTAAGCTCACCAATAATTTCCTTTTGCGAACAAAACGTTGATTGATTTAGCTTATGAGCTTATATAATCCGAAGCTTTTGTCATCTTCCTTTTTCCCGTCATCATTGCCAAAATAAGCTGCTAAAAATATGTATTCATATCCTTTCTATAATCTGACTGTCTGGAAACGTATGACGATGATAGCCATGCTAGTATGAAACTCTTCTTCGCTTGCTTGTGTCAGCCTCAAATTATTTACGAAATTCACAGATACCTAAAAGAATAGCAAAAAAGAGACCACGTGAATGACCAGAGCATTATAAAAATGACGTTCGTATTGTCCGAGTATTTGGACAGACGACAGACTGTTAGTTTTTCGTTATGTAGCCTATAGTCATCGTGATGCTTACACATACCGTCACAAAAGCAGCTGGTCTTATGTCATCAATGATTCACTCTCCTTCTTCGGTGCTTGGAACGAAGGGGCTAATTAGTATTGATGGACAGCAAATCCGAAAATTCTGTATAGAAAGATCAAACCTTGATTCCTGTTTTGTTAGACAAAGAAACCTTGGCATTTCGCATGACGTTCAGTTCTTATACGCTTTACGAAAGTTGCCGCAGTGACTTGCAACAAGCAGTTTCTAAGATAACTTCACAGCCGTCCATTGTGCTCTTGTAAGCTTGAATGAATTATTAAGATGCGGGAATAAAAACCTTCCGAAAAGTTATGGCAAGCAAGAGACTGAAACAATTCCCTAATTTGATCTTTGTTGAGAGATTCTATGGAAAATCTCAACTATGCACTCTTGCCTGATATTTTTCCTCTTATTCTGTTTTATGAATGACAATAAACTTGAAAAAGCTTAAGTGAATGGCATTAACCTTTCGATGACGATCTGTTAGCATTCGATAGAGCCTTTCCATTTCTTTTCCACGTCAATGAAGACATTAATGAACTCCTTTAGAGTGCAAGCAGGTGACGTACATGAGTTAATTAAGGATAACATAGTAAACTTATTCTATCAATGAAAGAATTCCCGGATATAAAATTTTCTCGTTGACGCTTGAACAGACGTATTATAGGGCAGAACCCTGAAAGTATGTAAAACTTTTAAACTTTGTTTGCGCGGTAATATGAACGAGCGGATCGGGACTATTAAGCGTCATGTGATCCAGATATGAAGTTCAACCGTTCCGTGCGCCTGTAACCAATCAAATAACGTGCCAGACGTCACGTGGCAGCATAATCTTATTTTGAATATCATGCTGCGTACTGTGTTTCAAATTTGAATAAGTTTCGAATCGAAAACAAAAAAACAAAAATAGAAGTGAAATGTACTATGTTATATCCAAACATTAATTGACCAAAAAACATGCACTATGCTCACTACTATCGATAAGGAATAATATCCCACAACGCATTTAGTACTGTATACGGGGAAACTAAAAAGCGCGCGTTTTCACGTTCAAATCTAAATCCTATATTTTCAGATATGCATCGACTGACATGGATAAGGTGCTCTTGAAATACACAGAGTATAATGAGCCGCACGAATCTCGTACCAATAACGACATCATGGAAACGTTGCAACGGAAAGAAAGCAAGAATGGTGGTGGATGCGATTCAGACGACGATTCTCCAGGACCCTCCACTCCTTGTCCCCAACCTACACCTAATTCTCAAACACCAGCTTCTCAGGCTAATTCTTGTATGCCAAATCATAGCGGCGTCAATGGAAATAGTGGCGCTATGGCATCCGTTGATCCCTCTCATCCTCCGACAGTCGCTCCACAACCTCCACAACAATCTCAGACAGCTCCTCTCCAACTCTACCAGAATTTGTTCCTACATCCTCAATCTTATCGTATTCAGCAACCCGGACAAAGTCATGCACCGCCTCAACAACCTTCACCTGGACCTCAATCAGCGCAAGCTGCAGCAGTTAATAATAAGCACATGGAATTCCCGACAACTAGCGCTTTCGCCTATGATACCTCGATACCACCAATGCACAACAGTCATTTGGTAGGCCACCGAGGAAGTTTAACTCAGAGCACGAACCCTTTTTCTAATCAAGCCGCAACAGACGCCGACGATCTCGTCACAGGAGGAGGTCGGGCGTCAGAACCTGGGATGTGGAGTTCAACGATGCCTCACAAAACCCAGCAAATGCCACAACACGCAGTCGCCCATCAACCAACATATGTCAAAATGGAACCTCATTCCCCGCCTGAAAAACGCGCTAGACTTTCTGCTGATTGGCGGCAGCAGCAACTCACCTGAGCCGTAAGGGCGCCAGTCGCTGTGGACTGGTGGTACGTCTGATGTGGATCCTTGTTCGTCGATGACCGGCGCCCAGTGCATCAAGATTAGCTATTTTACGTCTATTTCATCACGTTCAGGCCGAGAAATTTTTCCTTATTAAGCGATAATCTTTCGAGAACCATCCTCAGAAGCGGTAATTTCCACGCACAACACAAAACCACGGTTTATTGATTAACTTCCATGATTCCCCGGTTTTCTTTGGCGATCCCGATTCTGTTCAAAGTCTGTAAACAAACTTATTATATAAATATAAATGCAAATATATATAAAAATTATATAATATAAATAAATAATTATCACAGAGTAATTATGTTCACCTCGTTTGTCATTTGTTTTAAACTCATGTTGGTCTTTTCATTATCCCACTCTTTTTCCTTACAAGTCTACTGTGTTCGTTCTTCTTCCTTCCTCCATAGGTGACCTCAACAGTAGTGAAATGTGTTAACTAAACGCTTAGTACAATTATATTTTCCGATATGATATGCAATGTGTGAGAAGATATCAGATGTATAACAATAAAAAATTTATTGTTTATCATGCTGAATGAGGTATTCGTTACAAGACAGTAATAGCCCCAACAGGGTATCTAAAGAATGAGATGCATGGTCAAATGTTGAAAAAAAAATGATGTACAACTATCTTCATATAGGTAGCCATGAGAAAACAACGGGCTCTATTCATATAAGTATCATATCCCGCTTCATCCAATCATAAAGAACAATATAAGGGAAACCCAGCTGAATCAAAGACAAGATATGACTGCGCAAACCGTCTAACAAAAAAAAGGTGGATGCTTAGGCCATCATTTTCTGAACTCAGACGTATATCCGGTATCATTTTGCAAATTTTGCAAAGCCTGAGATGATAGATAGGCGGGATGATATGGTTCTCGTACCTGAGCAAGATTCATATGTCCACCGTCGTACCTATCTTGTAAGTTAGTCACCGGCGAGATCGAGTTGGCCTGTGGCCGATAGCCATAAGGCTGGGCATTAAATTGCTGTTGTCTACCAATGAGAGTATTCTGATATCCCATTCCTGGCTGCAATGGAGGATTATTCTGCCATCCGTTCCCTAATCTCGTTAACTGAACAGTTGCAAGTTAAAATAGAATGACTTGAATGAACTAACCGGATTACTAACAGCTATTCCAAAATAATTAGCATTACTGACAGGAGGTAATCTATACCCGCTGCCTTCATATGACATATTCAATCGACTAGGTTGGTTTCCTTGAGGTAACTGAGAGCTGACTTGTGGAATAAGTGGAGGTGGAATACTAGTAGGAGGCATATTTTGTCTTCCCACGGAGATTTTAATCTGTTCAGAATTTTTAGGACATGGTATCGAAAAGACGCTTACAGGTGGAGGCAGTGGGATTTTACTAACACTATTGGGTGTACTTGGACCTGTGGTTTTCAATGGAAGAGTAGGTGGGATTAATGGCAGGGGAAGCCTAGCCGCAGGGACAGGACGTGGAGGAGTATCATCCAAGATTATTACTGAATTGTCAGAACTGCATGGACTACTAGGACATGTTGGCTGCGGGTACTGAGGTTCTACATGATTGCCTCTACTAGTGGCTACGGAGTTTTCGACAGCTCTCTGAACTGCTAAATCATCATCATCATCCGAATCACTCAAAGCTGTAACAGAAATTTGATAACGATACTCTTGAAGAGGTCTTACTAATTATATCATCTTCAGGTTTAGACTTCGGAGCGATGAAAGGTTGTTGTTGTTGTTGTTGTTGTTGTTGTTGTGGTTGTTGTGGTTGTTGGTGGTAATTGTTAGTTAGAAGAGGTTTTGTATTAGTTACAGTAGATGTGCTTGGTCCATCTACAGGCACTATTTCATCGGCATTATCATCACTACTCGAGGCATCCTTAAGAAGTAAGCTGAATATACGATCAATCCATCAACAAACCTCCTCATGAATTGTTTGGTATCCGCCATCTCGAAGAAGTTCAACTTCAGTAACATTGTTGGCTACTGAGTTCAGAATATCTTCAAAATACCTGAAAGAGAACAAATGAGAGGTGAAGAGCTTGATTTATCATACCCGTCAATAATCAAATTATTGTAATGGCAGGGTCCCGAACATACGGCACATTTCCATGTAGGCCTTTTCTCATTCATTTCCAAAAAAAGCTTCAGATCAAAACATTGTAAGTGAGTACATTCCCGTCCACGAGCAGGTAAAACCATTCTTATCTTGCCCAGCTGAATTTCGAAATCACATATCACCCTGATCTAGCTCAATATTACCGGACATAGTAAGCTGACTTTAATCTGCGAGAGACAAATACCATCATCATCTCCAGAAAGTCGACGAATGATAATCTGCCTTGTTATATCGCTTGTCTGAATGGGGTGGTTGCGGTTCATTATACAATTAATTTACTTTCAAGAAATAACGTTTCTATTACTCAATTGTGAAATTTTATATTCTTTCTTTAAGTTATGAAATGCATTCCACCCTCTAAGTTATGAAACCCATTTCACCCTTAAGTTATAAAATGCATTCCACACTAGACCGACAGATCGAAAAAAGTAGAATGAAATGTGCGTGGGCGGACCACGTGAGTAGTGAGAAGTCGATTTTATTTCTCGCGGTAGACGATGATGAGCGGTTGAATAAAATGAAAATAAACTTACAAGGCGTACAGCGTGATTAGAATTTGCACGATCATATAATATTTTGGAAGTAACACGTCGGACCTTAACGAAACATTTTGTGAGTGAACTCGTGGAAGATTAAACCTTGTAAAGGCCACATGCCCATGCCCTTCTATCTGCACTCCATTCTACTGATAATCTGAAAAGAAGCGCATTGGAATGACGAGTGACAAGACGATCTTACGAATGTGGCATATGAACGGGTCTAGGAGGGCAACAATAAGGAGTAATATTCACTGGCCTGGAAGGCCTTTTCGGTTCAGCATTGGGTTTATTGGTAGGAATAACATTCTGAGAAAGAAAAGAAAATTAAAAGGGATACTTGAAAACCTTACAGGTAGAACAACAATTTGATCGTCTAATCGTACAAAACAATTCAAGGGAAAATCGTCAGGCTGTTCAACAGCAGCATATTCACCAGATACATTAAAAAACCTAGAAGGACACGATGATAACAGAACAGACAAAAATGCTTACCTCAGCTGTAATTCATAGCGAGGCAATTCTTTTTCCAAAGGTTTATCTTTGAACTCAACTATGTCAGTAGGACTAAGTCCAAACGTAATAATTTGTTTTGACTGAAACGATTGTGGTAACAGGAACTTATGAAAGATCGACATACAGTTTTAACAGCTCCTACCATAGCTGGCAATTCGATTGGCTCAATTAAGGTTGATATTAAATCATAAAACGGTAGAACCACAGTTCGGAGACCTTTCACTGTGCGATGCTGGAAACAAACACTATGATAAGAAGCTTCTAAATAAACTTGCTGCTTGCATAGGCGGAGGTCTTATTTGTGAGATGGCAGGATTCATGTTCGGTACATATCCGTTCCTCCTGGTCATGAAATCGATATAATCATGCTCGTCAGATATTGCTTTCAATAAGTTGGGAATTAAAACTAACTGTACTAGCTGTTGAGGGTAGGGGGCTGATCTAGACGGAGCTGAACGTCTCGTAATATCCTCGAGCTGTTAAGATATCCTGTGATTATTTTTTTTTCGGAAAAACGATACCGTTGTAACTAAACGTCCTTGCGACGTTGCAGAATGCAATAAACTGTATGCTCTTTGAATAAGCTCTTGTTTTTTGCCCAATTTCGGTAAATTGAAAACTACTAATAAGGTCTGTAGCTCGTTTACACGTAATCCGGCTATTAATCCCTAAAATGGAAAAGGTAAGTGGTGGAAGAAGAAAGCAAGACGGGGAGTCGAACTTCATATCTCTGGACATCCGTTCTTGACAGTGACATTGAAAAAAATATTTAAGCGGAGTCTGAAAGCTCCGCCGACCTTAAAATTTTGACAACTACCTCCAATATCCTGCAAACAAGGTTAGAATCTTTCAAAGCACAGAGGTAAGCAAGCGCAAAGCACATGAATAACAATATTAAAACACATATCACCAAAATTAGAAACGTTGTTAATTCCTCCATGCGGAGAACTCAACGTGGTCACATAGGCCATGTGGTTATGAAAAATGTGTAAACCTCGTAAAAATGTTTATCTTTTACGTTTTACTAATAGTCTAACAAACTATAAAACAGCAAAAATTCTTAATTTATCTATCTTCTGTACCACAATTGAGCTTCTCTCTTTCGCTTGATCTTCTTTTGCAACTGAAGTACTCCGTATAACAGAGCCTGAAAATGACGTTTTTAATATTACAAAGGGAAACCTCTTCAAGATACCTCAGCTGTTGGGGGACATCCTGGAACATAAATATCCACTGGGATGACACGATCACATCCTCTTAGGACTGAATAGGCATAATGGTAATACCCACCTCCATTAGCGCAGGATCCCATGGAAATTACCCATCTAGAAAACATTACATGATTATAGAGAAGAGAGTTGCAATATGGCCAAATTAAGAAGATTTGTGGGATTTTAGAAAGTTCGTGTTATCTCAAGTTTGCGACATCAATTAGGTTCAGCGCTCAAAGCACTTGGTCGGTAATCGATAATATCGATTGGCCGCTGTGACGTCAGAGCTGCAGCACCCAAAAATCGAAACAACGTGAAAAAGTGGGAAAGAGCAAATCAGAATAGACTTTGAAAAGATTATAGAGAGAGGCTGAAGATTTCGATCGAGCACGGATACTGTATGTCCTATTTGAGTCTCATGTAGAGCATCATGCTCTCTGGTGAACATACTAAGTCTAATGAATGATTTCATATTTTGTTTTCTAGATATTCAAACATCTCTTACGCGCCTATACATGAATATGTCATTATTGGATAGGTACCGCAGGTAGGAGTACTATTTCTCAGATGAGGTAGGTGTCATGCTTAAGGAAGGTCACTCACTTTGCTTCTGGCATCTGATCATAAATTCTACGAAGAGCAGGAGCCATTTTGTTCGTTACGGTTCCAGCGACGAAAATCAAGTCAGCCTAGATTATACATTGCATTTTACATAATAGATACGGTACACCTGTCTTGGAGATGCACGGAAAACGACTCCGTAACGATCCATATCGTATCTGGGAGCAGCGAAGTGCATCATTTCTACGGCACAACAAGCCAAACCTGGAAGTGACAAGATGAAGCTTATAAAACAGACTTAGACATTCATACCGAAAGTCAAAGGCCAGATGGAACCTCTTTGAGCAAGATTCATTACATCGTCAAGACGAGCAAGAGCATATTCACCAGCTGATGAAGTCTCCAAGAAAGGAGTACCTACGAACACGATTAAAATGATTTTTCAATTTACGATTACCGGTTTTGCCAATTCCCTTTGGAGCTTCGCTCGTGCTTGGAAGAGCTGGAGTAGCCGCTGAGGCCAACCCACGAGTAGGAGAAACGAGAACAGCGCGACGAAGCGCTGACAACATCTCTTGAAAACAATCAGTTAATTAAATGAAGAAGTTAACATGAGGAAATATCAGGAGAGCAAGGAAAGATTCGGAACTCCGACGAGGTGTTCCATTGGTGAAGATGGTGTTTTTGATTATTCGTGCATGCTTAATGGGATGTGACAGTAAGTAACAGTTCAGGATGAAGCCTGGAGTTCGAAAGTTCACTCATTTCCATGAGCAGCTTTCATTTTTTGAAAGTTGAAAAATTCAAAGAAAAAACCATACAAAATAGTTTGCAAAGGGGGCGCAGTCGTTTCAATGGACGAGGCAGCCATTGAAGAGTGAGCATTCAGACGCCTAGGGGTTTGAATGAATTTTATTTTTTAAATAATAAGCTGAGAGCGGTAATGTGGTTCACTTATGAAATGAATTAATTAAAATATAAAAGAAAAGCATTTAAAAGCACGAATGTGCGCTCCAAAGGTCTGCGTAGACGTGTATTGTTTTTACAAATTACGGCCGTTCTTAGCGTTTTCTCGTGGCAACTTATTCCCGCTCTTCTTTTAATTTCAACCCATCCGTCCGCATAATAGTTATATTAAGTTTATTCGTCAATTATATAGTTTACTTTATGTTGAGAGCAATATTATAGCTTTTCGTATTTTCTCACGCCTCTTTCATGCAAATTATTGAAGATGAGACTCGGAGAAGAGGATGAACCTTCCACTTCTCGCAATTATATGCCTTATGTAGCCGCAGATAGGAAAGATGGCTTATTTGGATATGACAAGAATATAGTTATTCCTCCTCCTTGGTCAAAGAAACGATATAGTTTATGCATTGAAGGGTTTCACTTGATTGTTTTGCTTCCTCTGAATTATTGTTGTTTCAGTCTTCACGAGGAAATTTTGGACGTTTATAATTGGCTCAAACCTTCGACATTAGAGAAAGCTATTAGATATAAAGTATTTGAGAGAGTATGTTCACTTATTCACCAAATTTCTGATCCAAATTCATGTTAGGTCCAAGAAACAATCAAAGAGAAATGGAAAGATAATGAAGTGAATGTGTCTGTTTTTGGAAGTTTACGTACGCAACTTTTCCTGCCCACATCGGATATCGACGTTTTAGTCGAGTGTAATGAATGGGGTAATGATCTTGCTGGTGTTCTTCAGGTTTTTTTTATTTTTTTATTTTCTTCTGTTACCTTTTATCCTTGTCAAGGCTACAGCTGAAGCTTTGAAAGCTTCTGGTATGGCCGAAACCATCAGTGTGTATGGAGAAGCCTTTGTGCCCATCGTTAAGATGGTTGACAAGGATACCAGATTATCCATAGACATTTCTTTCAATACTGTTCAAGGTGTTAAAGCTGCCGATTATATCGAAAGGGTTTGTGAAAACATCTTCTGTTGGACAAAGATCTTCTTGTTTTAGGTAAAACATGAGTTTCCTGTTGTAGAACCTCTTGTGTTAATACTTAAGCAATTTCTAATTCAACGGAATCTAAATCAAACATACACAGGAGGATTGTCTTCTTATGGCCTCATTCTTATGCTTATTAGCTTCTTACAAGTACGAGTCAAGGACATTGTGTTTTGATGAAGAAGTTGTTTTTCAGATTTACGGGATGCCCGTGCGAACCAAATCAATGTATAGTCCGGGTGTTAATTTAGGCGAATTACTTATGAGATTTTTCGAGGTCTATGCTCAAGTAAAGCTGTGCAAAACAAATTGTCATTTGATACTTGACTTTTAGGAGTTTAATTATCTAGAAGTAGGAATTTCTGTTCATAAATGTTGTTATAAGAAGAAGTGCAATAAGCCAGGAGATATGGATGCTGTTCTCTCTCTTGAGGATCCTTTGTTACCGAGTACGAAACTTACTATTCGTGATGCTCTAATATGAATGCTCTTTCAGCCAATGAGGTTGGACGATCCACATTTAACTTTGTAGGAATCCAGACGGCTTTTGCTCAAGCTCTTCAGGTTTGATCTCTGGTTGGTACATTGCTCTCTCATCCGTTTATTTATAGGTGCTGAAAGGAGTTTTCGTCCATGATCGACGAAAAAACCGCTTATTCAATTCGAAGCTTTATGGAGGAAGTATGCTATCTTTGATTATGCCGCTAACTCCACAACAGATTCAGTATCGAAACTGGCTCAAGGTGAGCGCTGAGGTATGCATTGGCTTGAAGCTTGCGCTTACACAAATCTAAATTCCCTAATAAAGACAACTGGTTTCTGATGCACTACGATACTCGGCTGCATCTTGATTAGTTTACTTCCTTTTTTATCCTCGTGTGTGCGCTTAAGTTGACATAGCCTTACGTCTGTCGTCGATTCTTAACAGCTTCTTTTGCCCTTAAGTGTTGAGGTTGAATGCCATGCAAACTTTCCTCTCCTTTCCATATACAAAAGTTCTTTACAGAGTTTTTCTATGACATATCCAGGAGAACCAGTTCGAGCTAGTCAACTAATCACCAACACCTTTTTAGCTCCGGTAACTAATACCAGTCATGCTCTCTCCTTCTAATCCTGAGCGAATGTTCAGGTTGTCAATCTGGATACCTTAGACTGGCATACGATTGCTTTTGCTGCTCCCAAACATTCTAAACGCTTAACAATTTCACCTCCAGAAGAAAAGAATGCTGGTTGTTCAGAAGTTTTGTAAAATATCAACAACGTGATTGCCTTTTAGCCAAATCGGATGAAGAGGCACATGACCGGAGAGATAAGAACAGGAACAAGTGGTATCCACAAAGTGATTCTCAATCAGATTCCCATAGCCCGAATGAGAATAACAACGTATGTTTGTGATCTTTGATATTATAGTCTCTTAAATGGATAATTTACAGCGGAATAAGCCGAACGAATTTTATAATGATCTCAATAATGTCAGAAATTCAATGAACTATATGAAGGTTGATGACCAACAGTCGAATGATCGAATTTCTCGCGAAGCTCATCTTTACCCTCCTAATGACAACTATGAACAGAAATCTCAATCTCAGAAGCCGTTAGTCATGCTCGATATGTTCTGTTCATACATTTTTCATTTTCAGAATTTATATGAATAATAGAAATGGCTACCATAGCAGGCCCCGCAACGATCAGAACCAGAAATATAAGAAAATGAAGAAAGGCATGGATCGACGCGGGAAGAACTCTGAGGTTTAGTCATTTATCTATAAAAGTGAGTATAGTTTGATTCCTTCAGGGCAGAGTAGAGAATCATCAAGTGATGGCTGAGTCAACGCCTTTTGCAGCGGCAAACTGTGCAGCCGCTGCAGTCACACTAACCGAGTGTATGCGCTCATCTGACGATGGCGAAAATAGCGAACAGGGTTCAGTTAAGAGCGTTTGTATATAGTTTTCTTGGTTCTTACCATCTACTTTCAAATTTATATCAACATCATCAACACCTGCTTCCTTTTTGAAGCACTTAATTTTGCGCATGTATGTTAAAACACCTATATGCTTCTGCTAGCCGATACAAAATACTTAAAAAGTTCGACGATAGGCTGTGAGGCTAAGCCTGAGCGTCCCAACATCTTATTATTTACTTGTTAATTTTAATCTAACGCCTATTCCATTGCTTTATTCTGTTGCTTATTTATTTTCTCATTTTGTTCGTAATTTTGCGTTTATTCCGAAGCAGTCCGCAGTTACACTGCGCATGCGCCCATCCATCGTGATTCTGCTCTGCTCAATAGCCAAACACATTCTGTTGATGCCTGACATAAGTTTATGTATATGTGTGTATCTGAGATTTTTATTTGTTATTTTTAATTTGCCATTTTTGAAGGAATAAGTGAGAAAGAGTAGGATGGAAAGAAATTTATGATAGAGTATGCCAAAACAAGAGAGTGTGAGAGTACGAATGCGCGCGTGAGTGTGAGTTCCTTTGAGGCTCGGTGCTTTTCGATGTTTTCTTCTTCATTACTGGTTTCAGTTTACGGTGATCTTCAGTTTTACTATTAGAGTAAAAATAGGGTTTGTATTTATCACTATCATGGCTATGTCTGATGGGTTTAAAGTATTATCGAACATATTCTATATATTTCTATTATATAATATTTGTTTATCAGGGTTAAAGATTATTTCACAATGGTTTTTTCTCATTGATTTGTCGGTTTGCAACCCGTTTTTATTTTGCCACGTCCAACCTTTTTTTGGAATATACATTTACTGTGCTATATGATCGTTTAGGGAAATGGAGCCAAATAGTGCAGATGTTAGCATTGGAGCCGAACAGTGTAACCCTAATACGGGAAATTCTTCCCAGACGGAAATCAAAGTAGAAGTGAGATTTCAATATTCAATTTCCTTGTTCTATATTCTGCTCATATTATAGAAGGTTAACCACAGTTGGACTGTGAAGAACTTTTCTCATTGCTATCAAGAATATCTAGAGGTAGGCGAGTTTGTATGTTCCATTCCAAGATTCTCTTTTAAGAATTTTGTTTATCTAACTCGAGGAGAGGAGCAACTCACATGGTCTATAAAGATTTATCCCAAAGGAAATGGCGAAAACAATAAAGATTTTGTTTTCTTATGTTTAAATCGTGTGGTACGATTGCATGTTGACATGCCGAATGTTAAATTATACCTTTAGGTGAACAATAACAACACTGGAAAGTCGACTAAGATCGGATTCAAGTCTCGTTTCATGCTTCGAACTGCCGAATTAAAAGAAATAGAGGTGAGCTCAAACAACTATGGTCTATCCTTATGCTACGTGTTACAGATGAGAATACATCCCAATCCTTCTCATTCGGACTATGTATCCTATATTAAGCGTGATGTGTTATTCCCCCAAATTTTACCTCGAGATATGATTATTGTTAATGTGGAAATAGATGTCGCCGTAGAGACTATAACTACTACACATGAACCAATCTTGGTAAGTCTAAGCTCATCCACTTCCTTCACTTACATCTCCCTTTAGCCCAACTCCAACTGTGAACAACAATTAGTAGAAGATTACCAACGATTGTTCAGAGAAGACTTATTAACTGATTTCACAATCAGAGTTGGAGCTCGTGATATTCGCACTCATCGTGCTATTTTGGCTGCCAGGTAACAGCAACTTCATTATTCTTTTTTGTAGAATTCGTTTTTAGGTCTCCAGTTTTTGGTGCAATGCTCATGCACGAAGATACAAATGAAACCAAAACTGTAAGTTTACCAGTCTGCTTTCTGCACTTCATTGATTTTCCTTATTTAGGGAATTTTGGAAATTAGAGATTTGGATTATGACGTAGTATATGAAATGGTGTACTATATTTATACTGGGCGTTGCCAGCGGGAAATTTCTGAAATTGCTGGGGATCTCTTAGTAGCTGCTGATAAGTATCGTCTCGAAGAATTAAAGGTTAGACTGAGGATCATCGAACATTCTTACTCATCCAATCTTTTGCAGAGCCATTGCGAAAAATATTTAATTGAAAATTTATCTACTGAAACTGTTTGCCATTTATTAGTGCTAGGTGATATGTATGGAGCTCCTCGACTGAGAAGTCGTGCTGTACAGGTAAACCTTTTCCATCCTATTCTTTCAACAGACGCTCTTTCTCCAGATGATCCTAGCCCGCCCTAAGACTGTAACTAATACTCAAGGATGGGAAGAAATTCTTAAATCTCGTCCTGCTCTTGTGACTGACATTGTTAATAATTTTGAAAAATCCCAAACCGGATGCGGTGAAGGTGGTCAAACACAAACTCAACCTCAATCATGAGGAATACTGTATTTTTAAAAAAAACCGTGAACCTAACTGAGCTGAGCTGAGCTTATTCCCTGCTCGTTATAATGTACGCTGCTTTATATATATATATATACATATATTCCCTTGGACTATATCAGCGTATCAGTCCATAGACTATGGGTATCCATTTGTATCCTCTTAATTGTTCACATTTATTGCCGCTGAGGGTGTCTTACTTTCCATATTATTTTTATAAACCTAATACTTGGATTCCGCAACTATATGCCTTTCTAAACCATACGTTCATAATTTGTATACTGCGTTGAGTTCCCGATCGTTATCATAATTAAAATCGAATTTTAAAACCTTTGTCAACTTTTATTTCCATAGTTGTTTTATTGCTTTCTTTAAAATAAAAGCTATATCCCTATAATGTGTCCATAGGATATACCATCTCCTTCACCTACCTATACCCCTGTTGTAGGAATCACGCACGCACTATGAATTCCATCACACCTATCCTTCCCTCCTTTATTTATCCCGTCAGACAGGATGGAGAAAATATATATATTGGTGCTTTCAGTTAGGATTGAACCTACCGTATTGTTATAACGGAACATGACTTCCTTCCCATCCGTGATTACAGTTGTATAAACTTTCATTTCGTGTTTCTTCCACAGTTGAACATGTTGTGCCTCTCATAAAAAATATTGTATCCGTTCATGTAGTCCACAGGACATATAATCCTATTAGGAATCGTTAGTACGGAGTATTATATCGCATCGTTTAACTTCTTGAGCACCTATATATCGAATGATCAAGTACACATAATGCTGGATACTCTCGAGATAGAACCAACGACCTCATCGTGAGACAACTAATGTTGCCACTCGGACAGGAGAGATGTATTCACCGGCGGAACATGTTGCCAACCATCATACTGTTATTGAAGCAGAGTGCTAGATGAAATTGTCATTTCAACATTGTATTCATTACATAGATAAGTGTCTGATAATAATATGTATTTTGCCGTTCTAGTGCACCTTTTCGCCATTTTCAAAAATGGTAAAAAGGTCGAAATGCGCTACCTTGAAAATGTGGTCGAAATGGATGGTCGAGATGGTCGAGAAAAATGCGCTAGAACGGTGAATAGAAATAATGCTAAATAAATGCATTTCAATAACAGTATGATGGTTGGCAACATGTTCCGCCTCTCATAACATCTCTCCTGTCCGAGTGGCAACATCATTTGTCTTAGGATGGGGTCGTTGGTTCGATCTCGAGAGGATCCAGCATTATGTGTACTTGATCATTCGATATATAGGTGTTCAAGAAGTTAAACGATGCGATATAAAACTCCGTTCAAACCTAATCCTAATAGGATGATATCTCCTGTGGACAAATTGAATGGATACAATATTTTTTATAAGAGACATGACATGTTCAACTATGGAAGAAACACGAAATGAAAGTTTATACAACTGTAATCACTGGGAGATGGGAAGGAAGTCATGTCGAGATGGTCGAGAAAAATGCGTTAGAACGATGAGTAAAAAAAATACTAAATAAATGCATTTTAATAAATCCCAAGGATCTGAAAATCTATGATTCGATAGAGCCCTAAATATTTTTTTTTCTAAACTTCATTCTCATGACTCAGACCGAACCCGATAAACTGCTCGGAGAAAATGAAAACTCTTCTCCGTGCACGAAAACCTCTTGCCTTCCTCTGCGTCTCTGCTCACGCGTCTCTGCCTTCCACTCTAGCCCAACGCGTTTGCTTGTCGCTTGTGTCAAATTCAACTGAGACAAATGTGTGACTGTGCTCGGTCAGAGTGAGGAATCAGGGGTAGATTGTTTCTATATATCTCAAAATTATATTAAGTTACCAAAGAATACAATTAGAGAAAATGCTAACTTCTTCATAGTATTTCCACAAGATAAGTAGAATTTAGATTACATCTACAGAGATCATTGTAGTGAAATTAAGAAGGAAGAATTCCTTGGAATGACAAGAGAAATATGGTCTAAGAAGTATAATTTTTTAACCATTGATAAGTTTAGTTCTCCAGGTGATGGTAAGTTCAGAAAGATGTTGAAGTATTTTACATCTTCTAAGGAAGCTTCGCTTACGCCGTCTTTTGATTACAAAAGCCTAGGAAATCTTCGATTTTTATTTACTTCCTTGATCTTCTGGATCGAAGCCTGCCTTAGGTCGTTTTAGGACATCGTCTAGGAAGCTTGTTTTATTAATTTTGAATACTTTTCTGAATGTAAGCGATTTGTTCTTCTGGTGTTCTTTTTGGAATTTTCCTTGTTATATCTACCAATCCCATAGATCTAGGAATCGAAGATTCTACTACTTTCTTCATTTCCTTCACTACACCCGGGTCTTGCAGATCCTTAGATTTTTGTTCATCTTCTTTCAATTTAGGTATTTCACTAGTTGTATTTGATGAATTCTTCTTTAGATTTGGAATATAATTCAAACAAAATCTTCCTGAAGAATCTCTGATACCAGCATGTTTCACTCCTTTGGAATTATGTGGTATATCATATTGAGTCAAATACTTCTTTATGGTTTTTGGTGAAATACCAGTCTTTTGATGAAATGATAATATACTATTCTTCACGTTTTAAGCTCTTCAATGAGATTATGGACTTACATTTATAATTTGGGTAGCAAAAGAAAATTTTTGATTTATATAAAGTATTTTTTTACAATACCAAATTACCTTACTTTACTCTACCTTGCTTTACTGTATTACTTTACCAATATTTCCAGAGTCGAAGACTAATAGATCTGAATGATTGAATAGAAAAAATATTTTTATTTGCGTATCTAAATGAGCCATTGAAATTACATACCTTCGTAGAAGACATTCGAAAAATTGAAGGAAATAAAAGTTTAGATTTTTCAGAAATTCTGGAGTATACTCAAAATGAATACACCAGGGAAACAGCTCAAAATTATTTGGATGCATTAGAAAAAATGATTACTACTATTGATGGATCGAAGTAATCTCGAAGTGACGAATGCAGTTATAAATATGCTTTTACTAAGCATTTAACATCGGAATGCAGAAGTGAGTGTAAGAGTATAATTATCAATTGTCTAGGAATTAAGTTTGAGTCGCGAAACATGTTGCCAACCATCATACTGTTATTGAAGCAGAGTGCTTGATGAAACTGTCATTTCAACATTGAATTCATTACATAGATAGGTGTCCGATGTAACCGATGTTGATCCAATTTGAACTGATGCCAAGTCAATTCGTCTTGGCCAGAATAGAACACCGGAGAGACTCTTTTCCATGCATTAATAACAAGGTGGGGATAAATATTTATAGTAGAACAGCTGTTTGTATCTATAGCTCACGATAAACCTTGTCTCATTAGAATGAGATAGCGTTCGGGTATTGTCTCCAGTACTACAATGGCATTTGAATATGTGTATAAATATATACTACGGTAGGTGACCTCGGTCGCATTGCGTACAATGTGATATGGGCGGCCGGTCGATAATGCAAAGCCGCGTTCTTTGCGAAATTTTACGGCTTATCTGACATGAGCAACGTTTTGTTGATTTTTACTTTTATTATTTTACATCGATTTTCATTCTGATTTATTTCCAGGAATTATGAAGAGAGAGCACGGTGGAGGAGATGATGATCGTTATGGAGGGCGACATAAGAGGCAGCGTGCTGATGGGTATTACTTACTTTGCTTACCTTCTCTAAGACTATTCTCTCCAGTTTCTCTGAGGCTCTGGCTCAGGGCAAGTTTGAACTACGACTCTTAGTGAGCAGTAAAGCTGCGGGAGCTGTGATTGGCAAGGGTGGCGAAAATATCAAAAGAATTCGCAGTCAGGTAGGTCACAAACTCAAATCTCTCCACGCGTAATTCGAATGGTTAGCATCCATGTTTGGTATACACACACACAGCACAGTTTTCTATGTATCCTCACGTAATCTCTAGCAGTAATCTGTACTATGACAATATTTTTCAAGTCATTTGAGTCCGACTAGATTTCCGAAAGCTGAACACTCATAAATCATTTCAAACTAAACAGAACTAATCTATACCCTCAAGATTTCAGTTCGATGGCCACATCTCTGTCCCCGATTCGAATACACCTGAACGGTAATTCCCAAGTTTCCCATTCAAATGATGTACTTTCTTCTCGTTTGGCCTGGCGCAAGACCCTAATGACCCAGTCCTTACCGAGTTGCTTTGGTTAAAGTTTTCTAAGTTGCTGAATTTTGAATAATCATTCATTCACCTTTACTTCTAAAACGAGCCGATCCTTAACCAATGGCTATATAAAATCGTTCTATTATAGAGCTAATGGTTCTCGTTTAGGGTTATTACGATGACAAGCAGTATCGAAAACGTATTGAAAATGGTGGAGGATGTATTGCCGAGATTGGATGACGTATGAATGTGTGAATTTCTGCTTTCGTCATACTTCATATTCCAGGGTTCTAACGAGAGAGACAAGGCCGAGATTCGTGTGCTTGTTCACCAATCTCATGCTGGTGCTCTTATCGGTAGGCAAGGAGCTCGTATAAAAGAACTCCGAGAAAAGACTAACACTCGTATAAAGGTGATTAAATGATGTTTCCTTATCTAACTTTCCTGTCTTTCATAGGTGTTCCAAGATACCGCACCCCAATCTAGTGACCGGATTGTTGTGATTGGTGGAGACGAATCAGCCATTCTTGATGCTGTCCGTAGAATTATTGAGGATCTTCGCAACATACCCATTAAGGTTCAATTGTAATAGGAGTTCTCAAGAAACAATTTCTTTTTCCAGGGCCCTGCTAATCCCTACTCGTCTTTCAACTACGACCACATTAATTTTAGCAAGTACGGTGGATATGCTCCTATTGGTTTCACACCTGCTCCTCCTGGTAGAGGCCCCCCTGCAGGTCGTGGACCTTCCGGAATGAATCGCGGAGGTTACAATAATGGCCCTCCACCTCAAATGGGGTACTCGCTCAATCAGATTTCGTCTGAAGTTACCAATATATTTAAGAGGTAACCGTGGATATGGTCCAGGTCCTGGTATGGGTAACATGGGAGGTATGATGGGAATGGGAGGACCTCCACCTATGCCTGTACCTCCTCCACAGCAGTCATCCTACATGAACCTCATGCAGGTAAAAACAAACGTCTGTTGTGTGTTTTAAATATCTTATCATATGGCTTTTAAGGGCCCTCCTTCAATGTATGGTGGACAGAGACAAGGACCGCCAATGAGTGGTTATGGTGGCCCTCCACAAATGAACGGTTACGGTGGACCACCAGCTCCTCAAGGCATTCAAACCACACAGGTTAGCATTTTGTTTGTATTAAGTGGAAGCTCATTATACTAATTGAAGGTCACTATTCCCTCAGACCTGGGAGGAACCATCATCGGTCGTAATGGAGAAAGAATAAACAAAATACGGGATGACTCTGGTGCCAACATAACTCTAGAAAAGTCAACTGGTGCCGCTGAACGTATAATAACGATATCTGGGACAGCGGAACAGATCCATACTGCCCAATATTTGTTACAACAATGGTAAGCAGGAATAGATGGAAAGGCTGTCTATAATGAATTGTTTCAGCGTTCGTTCTTCGGCCCAAGGACGAAAGTACTATGACGGGTCGCGTTAAGTTATTTAATTTGCTGAAACGTTTTTTACTTTGCTTATTGTTGCTTATTAATCGTCGTCGTTCTCATGTGGAGGATCTTTGCGATCTCTGTAGTTTTGTAAATATTGTGGGAATCCTCCGTGATTTACATGTTTATACTTTTTAAGTTATTTCAGGCTTCATATTGCAATGATAAAGCATTGAACTAAAGATGAATAAACCCACAATTAATAATTTTCTCATGTACTTTTATTCATAGAACGTTATTAATTATTATTATTTCAATGTACAAAATGATCACAATGTCAAATCACTTGGTGCTTGTCGCGCGAGAGGTTAGAGGCGCGGAGGAATAGAATGGCGTGGGATGCTGTGGGCAGGCTATTAGCCTGGAGCTTTCATATGAATGGGAATCGATGATTTAGGGTCAATATGGATAAATAAGTGAAATATAAATATTCAAACAACTATTAGCAATCACATCTGTAAAATCTATGAAGTGATATGATTATATGGAATTAGAAGGCAAGCTATGAACTCATGTGTTTGGTCTCGTAGAATTATGCATAAGTAGGAAAGAGCCGAGACAAATGAAATGCTCCAATACGTCTTGATAAATGACTCTTCTGCTGAAGATTTAATTTACCTAAAGTGGATTTCAATCAACTTCTGTTAGCAAGAGCAATTCTTACATTTGGATGGGCATAATCTGGTTTAAAACTCTGGCTCTGCTCTCTTTCTCCAGGAGCTTTCGCTCTCTTTCTATTCGGCTTTTGATCATTTTAACTTTCTTCTTAATTAGAGAGCGATCAGAATGATTTTGAATTCCCATGCCCTGAAAGAGTCAGTCATACGCTTTCGATAAGCAAATTCAATCTCACCTTGAGTTTGCTTCCATCCAAGTCCAGGAACTTGGCCCCATTGATCTTGTTTATGGTAAACTCAGGAACATATTTATCCAGTCCCATAGAAACCAATAGCTGGCACACATCATCCACTGACCAATGAAGAACTTGTAATCCTTGAACCTCGACAGAAGCCCTCCAAAACTCGTTCTCATCTAAAGTCATGGGAACTATTCATGTCATTGTAGTTTCCTCATACTTGTCAAATAACGTTTACGAAGTGGGAACAGTAGTTTGCGATGAACAAACTTATGTGGAAGAGCAGGCGATGCTGGTTCAGATATACGGGGAATGGGACTGTCACAAGAACTGCTGAATTTATCTTCGTCACAGCTGCTTCCCACAGACACTTCTGCGTCTTTGCGACACTAAATATTACAATGATTAGCATGTTACTGCGATGCTCTGCAAACCGGGTTGAAAGGCAAGTCAGCCATAACAGCTTTATCCTCTTGAGGGAGTTCATTTGCAGATGGTTTATAAGCCAACAGCTCTTCTCGTTTATCTACCTGAACCGGCACAGTTGCATTTGCAGAATTGATGGAAGACTAAAAGCAAAAATTAGCAAGCGAAATTCTGACAATCTGTCAGATATGCAGCCGAGGAAGCCAAGCAGCACCAGACACATGCGAGTTTACCTTGAGCTTGTCCCGTAGATGGGCGAGTTCCATTTGGGTAATTGATTGTCGTCTTTGGTCCATTTCTTCTAATTTAGATTCAAGCTCTTCGATGCGTTCCTAAAACAACTCTGTGAAATCAATCAACTGTTTTTGCGTTACTCTGAGTTGCGTGACAAGCATAGCGTAATGAGAATCTTTATCACGAAGCTGTTCGACATGACTCTCTTCTCGACTAAGGAGTTCCTTTTCTCTGAAACTGTATAGTTTGCCATAATACTGAATTTATAGAAACACCTCTCTTGGTAGTTTCGTAGTAGCTGATTAGCTTGGTCATATTTGCGCTCGAGTTGTTCATAGTGAGCCTTTGTATCATCGAGAACGTTATGCATTTCATCAGCTTTTTTCTGTGACTCTTCTAGCTCCAGTTCCAATGATGAGATGCGAGTCTGAAAACAGAAAATCAAAGTTTGAATGTAAATTATTTTGCATCCTACTCGAATCTCATGCTCATCAATCCCTCGGCTCGAGTGAATTGGATGATCATCATCCACTGGTTCGTTATCTTCCTCTGTAACTCGGAGGCGATCTTGTTCTAATGACTGACGGATAAGTTGAGCAACTTCAGACTCGTCCAAGTTGGGTTCTCGACCTGTGAACTATTAGTCAGAAACCGAAATGAAGTAGTTATTATACCAATAGTAAAAAGAACACGATTCGTAGTAGCTCTCAACGTTTCGGCTGCATAAAGCTGTGATACTCCCACTAAACTTTTCCCATCCACGGATACAATTTGATCGCAAACACATATACGTCCATCTCTGAAGCAAAGTAATGTGTCAACACATTAAAAAATGCCGAAGCTTCAAGAGGATTTTCGAGCGAGAATTAATAATTTGAATTTGGCGCGTTCCGTGAGGAAGTGCATTTTCTGTTCGAGTGGGCGCATGAACGGTTGTTTGTTTTTAGAGTGCCAAACGTTTAGGATTTCTCGGATGTTCATTTCGGTTGGTTTTTAATATTTGAAAACTCACTGATAAATAGCTCCCCCAGGTGTTATGCTTTTGACAAAAATTCCAAGTTTCTCCAAACCGGAATCAGCACCTACTCCCATACCAATAATAGAAACTCCAAGTCCTTCAGGCCCTTTGTCCAATTCAACATCAAACAACTGCATTCGTTCAAGTCGTCGTTCTAATTCGTATTCAGCACAAGAGGCGACAGGATCTATTTCCTCATTTTTTCGGTCATAATCATCAACCGAATGGGCACAATAAACCTGATTTATGAAAATAATGAAAAGGTTTAGTCTAATTATATTACTGGGATTGGAGCTGTACTGAATGAGACCTTTCGTGAGTCTTCTTCGTATTCGCGTCGTTCTGGACTCAAACCACGTCTCGTCTCCATAAGCCCTCTTAACATTACAATATAATAGATATTCTCTAATCAATATGCCAGAAAATGGTTAACGTACTTTGGACTATCTGACATAACTTCCGACTCGCGGAAGCGTGCACCAAGATCGGGCGAATAAGCATAAGATTCATCATCTTCACGACGAGTCTTGACCAATGCGTAAGTTGTATGTCTCATTGTGTCATTTTCAGCATCTATATGATCCGAATCGTCTCCAAATCTAAAATAAGTATGGCAATGAGAACTTCATCCAAACGGAGGATTCATGTTATTGACATCCATGACATCCACACGGTCAACTCTCATACAGATTGCATTCAAAAAGAACAATTTGAAGATGTAACGGGTATATTAAGCCAGATGACGGCTCAAATATACCAATTAGGAGAAACAATAATCATGCAGAACAGAGGGATGAAAACTAATGCAATGGGTGAATCAAGGGGAAGAAGGGTAGAAGTGAGACGAGCTATACGCAACGTTCATCTAAATGGCATTACTATATAAGCTTCACACGAAATCAGGGAATATAGGATGCGTTCCGCTGGCCAACGAAGAATAAGAACACATTTCCACTTCCATTTAGACATACAAAAGCTTCATGCCATTCTTAGAATAATCCGTTTAATCAGGGATAAGAAAAAACGGGAAATCGAAGGGATGACACAAACAGGCGCTTATTGCAAATGAAAATTCGACTAACCTTTTCTTAAAAAATGATGGATCTCTCCAGTACGGCTCATATCTCTGCTGTGGGTTGTGACTATTAGCTGCAGCTGGCAAAGAAGTTGGAGGAGGCGGTGGAGCCAATGGATTTCCGGAGTATAAGGATCCGTAATTGGAAATTGAAGATGTTGATGGTGATATGCCTCGAGGTGTTCCCGCCAGAATGGAATCGGAGCTATTACGAATAAATCTGGAAAGGAACAAAAGCCATGCAGTGTGAGGAAACCATTCAATTAGATTTGTTTTAGAGAGAACAAGTTAAGAGGTTGAAGAGTTTGTTTCTCATATCAGTTCATAGATTAGATCTCCATGAGGATTGGAAAGCAACATACGCATCACAATATCACAACAAGGCCTTGAGCGCAATGGAGCAGACAAGAGAGAAAGGGCAACATTGCAAAAGATCAACTGTAGAGAGATGGAAGAATTCGTCTTCTGAGACATATTAAGTCATCTATTCAACAGACTTCTGACTCAAGAGCCGTATCATCAGGAACTAATGGGATTGGGAATGAAGCTGACTGACTACACATCAAACTTGCTACAACGAATACGATCATCAACATTATGATGATGATGATGTCTAGAATGAATAACGAACATAGCAAGAAGACAAAATATTCACCATACACAAGAATTTGCCCAATGAAATAGTGAGATGCAGCTGGCTTAAGGCGGGTCTCGAAGACCATTGGGTGCTTAGCTTTTCCTTATATATATACATGGATCGAATTCTCCAGAGAGGGAGACTAGAATGTGGGTGGGTAAGTGGCAGAGTATACTGGCATAGGAACATGAGAAGACACAGGAAGAAATGCAGCATGAAATAGTGAAATAAGGTCTCTATAAGAAATAAAAGAGAGGCAACGAGAGAATAGAGAGACATAACGAATCATCTGGCGGTTAGGTGCCAGATATGTTCCTATATATGAGCATGACAAGCTAACGAATGTCGAAAAGAGACATGTCTCTCCATTATCAGAGATGTGAAATCTCAAATTTAACTAAAATGCATGTTTGCTATTTCCGGAGAAGATTTTGTTTTGTATGTAATAGTAAGAGAAGAAAGAAAAAAAAGCAGATCCATTTTCCCTACTTTTCCGACTAATGATGGCCCTCTATAGGCTGAGCTCAATGAGAAAGTACGCTATGCAACAAGGAAAATCGCAACATGATGAGCTTAGTTGACGGCGGAAATGCCAACACACACTAACCATACATGACTGGGTCTTGCAGGTGAAATGTTTAGAACAATGTTTGCAGAAAAAAAAGGGAATTGAATGTTTAGAAAGGAGAAGTACGTCTGTATGTTCACAGCTATTGTAGACTTATATGGAAGACCATGTTTTCTTCCATCAAACATCAGCAAACAATTTCGTTTTCAGCCTTACGTCAAACTTGAACGACAACGATTCCAAATGACTGGCTTTGCTGCTACAAGTTTGGACGAGATTGTTGAGATGTGTCAGTTCATTTGCTCCAAATCTCAGCTGCTCTTCAGCTCATTGACTGTTATGAGATTCAGTAATGTCAGTCCCTCATCTTATTATTTCGTATTTTTTGACATATCTGAAGCGTCAAATAATCAGCTTCTCAATGCCAGAGGCCACTTCATGCGGCACATCTGGGAGGAACTTGTCTGAGACCACTCAAGACTTCTTCCAATTGCAGGACAAGCGTAAACACGAAAGACAAAATAAGAGAAAGGAGAAACAGGAAGACAATAAGTTCTTGGATACAACTGCCATTTCCCAGATTGGTCAAGAGCCAGCTGACCAATAGGTAGGGCAGAAACCAAATTTGAATGTCATAAAAGTAAAACTAACCGCTTCTGGTCTAAAGAGGGCGTTGAGTTGGCGGATGATCGGCAAGAAGCGGAAGATATTTTGGCCAAATCACTTGCCATTTCAGAAAACGTGTGGGCGACCTGAAAAAAATCTTTATGAGTGAAATGGAATAATAATAATGATGTAATGATGAGGGAAGTATTATTCTTAAAGAAATCGTACAATCTCATTTTTCTTGGGGAATAGTGCGAGAGAGAGAGAGAGAGAGAGAGAGAGAGAGAGAGAGAGAGAGAGAGAGAGAGAGAGAGAGAGAGAGGGGGGGGGGGAGAAAAACATTCATATATTTTATATTGAAT